AAAGGCACCTGCACACCCAAGTTTATTGCAGCACTGCTCACAATAGCCAAGCTATGGAAACAGCCAAGATGCCCCACTACTGATGAATGGATTAAGAAAATGTGGTATTTATACACAATGGAATTTTATGCAACCATGAAGAAGAATGAAATTTTGTTAGTTGCAGGTTTGGATGGAATTGGAAAACATCATCTTAAATGAAGGTGGTCAGGCTTAGAAGGCATGAAGCTCCTAGTTCTCCCTCATATGTGGATTGTAGACCTAAAACAAATGCAGTAATATTATGGGACACGGGTCACACTAAAGGGAGGCTGTGAAAGGGAGGGATGGGATAAGGGAAGGAAACCAAAAACTTGAATGTGGTTGATACGCTCTCTGTACTGGAATGAATATAGAAATTTTAAACTGGCCAGGGCCACCATAGGAAGCAGACTAGGGAGGAGTGAAGAGGACTGGAAGAGGCAAATCACTTGGAGTGGTAATACACAAATGCATGGTAACCATACAAGGAAACTCCCTGTGTAGCTATCTTTATCTCAAACTAGCAAAAATTCCATGTTTCTCATTTTATCTTTTATGCTTTTTTCTTCTACAAAATCGTAGAACAGTAGAGTGGAACAGGTTCTGCCCTGGGAGGAGGGGAGTTGGCACCAGTGGGAGGGGGGAGTTGGCAAGGAAAAGGATAGGAGGATGAATATGGTGCAAGCAATGTATACACACACACATATATATATAAATGCCAAAACTAGAAACTGTTCCAGGAATGAGGGGAGGGGAGATGAGGGAGAGCAGTGGAGGGGGGAATTCAACTATGATATATTTGATACATTGTAAGAACCTTTGTAAATGCTACAGTGTACCCCCACCTAGCACAAAAAGAAAAAAGAAGCAATGGCAAGTAAAAATATTCATATTTTTGGTAAATCTATATAAATATTACTTGTAAAAACGTATCATTCTTTCCTCTATGAAATGTGATCAGAATATGTGTATGTATTAGGTAATCACCAATTTTCTTGAGAATAAATGAAATTTAAGATGTTTTCCTCACAATTAGATGGCAGGCACATACATACATGTAAATTATAGAGTGATTCCTATATTGTAACATCTATAAAAGCTTCAACTGGGTACAGTGCTCAGCCATAAGCAATAGCGCTGGTATCAGATTCAATGTAGATTCTTTATGTGATCAGGCCTTCCCTTATGCCATAGATGCCACAGTATCAAAACAAATTCCAGTACTGCCTCACTGTTCTTGGCCTTAATCCTGAACTACTCTCCCTGATTCACTCCGTGTTCCGTAAATAATACTCCTTCTGGACCTATGAGGAAAACCCAGAGATTAAGCACTATCCTCTATTTGAAAGGCATAGTGTTCACTAAAAACATTTACAATTCTAATAATTCTCTAGGAAACAATATAATTTAAAACTGCTTTTATTTTTATAGGAGTTCAGTACATTTTTTTAAATCCCTCTTTCATGCCAGGAAATGTGTTGGTGCTGGGAATAGAGAAAAAAATAGAACATAGCCTTTTTCCATGAATAGGATACAATAAAGAATATTGTAAAGAATTGTAGCAGGGAGGAGGACCAGAAAAGAAACAGACAAGTTTGTGTTCTGATAATGAGACGGGGGGGAAGGGATGGCATATCAGAGAGATAAAACTTAAAGAACTGAAACATGAAGAAGGTCACATAGCACTGGGGAAATGAAATAGTCAATAAAGATGCATGCAACCATACATGGGTTAAGCTTTGCCTTTTGCTTCTGTAACCTGCTTGCAAGGGTATATAAGGTGAGACCCCTTTGTTCTTGGGGCTCAGTCTTTGGACACGAGTCTACTGAGTCTGCGCCAGCACAATAAAATGTTGCTTCTTGCTAAACTGCCTCATTGTCCCATATCTCTGCTTGACATTCCTGCAACGAATATATCAAATATATCTTCAATCCACTGTGATGAACACTAAGAAGAAGAAGCCACCAGGTATAATCAGAGTCACTGAAAAGTGACTGCTAATGTGGGCAAGGGCATCAAGGAAGTCTACCTGTGAAAGGTGATGTCCTAAAGAAATTAAAAGAAGAAGAATTTTCTTGGAAAATGAGATAATGTGTGCAAAATGACTGAATCAAGAAATAAAATAGGGGGCTAGAAGTATGGCTCAAGTAGTAGGGAGCCTGCTTTACAAGTGCAAAGTCCTGAGTTCAACCCCCTTAGTCCTGATAAAAGAAAGGAAAGAAGGAAGGAAGGAAGGAAGGAAGGAAGGAAGGAAGGAAGGAAGGAAGGAAATGATATATATAAAGAAGAGTTTGGTAACCTTGGAGTGGGAAACCTCAATGTAGACCTTTTGGTCTCCATATACTGTATCTGAGCATACTTGAGCATAATAAATTTGGAAGAAATTTAAGTAGTTAGTAGAGTAGTAATAGTAAAGCTGAAGAAAAGAAAATTGTGTTGCGTAGATCATCCTACCCTTTCTGTCAGGTTGGATATGTCAGCTGTATGAAACAAACTTTAACCAAAACTTCTAATTTCTCTCTCAACCCAGATTACACTTAGGACATCAAATCTATCATGAAGAGGACCTTGTTTAAGTACTGGGTGAGGTCACTGTGTGGTTCTCATTCCTCATCTGAAACTGGGTGAGTTTGACCCATTATTCTTTCTGTTTTATCCAGCTCTTCACCCATGTGGAAAGTATGTTTAACTTTAAGGAGAGGAAAATAATTACAACATATTAAGGCTGGATTGCTCCTATAAGCTTTGAATAGAGGATTAGATACTTGCTCAGCCATTTAAAGACTAAGACTTTACTTTCCATTGACTTTACATTTAGAAGTCTATGATCCACTTGTAATTAATTCTGTGTCTAGATTCATTTATGTGTGTGTGTAGATATGCACTTGTTCTAGAAACATTTGTTGAAGAGTATACTTTCTCCACTGAATTGTCTTTGTTCCTTTGTCAAAGGTTTTTATTTTAGAAATGTTTCTTAACTATGTGTTAAGGATTTTGAGCATACATTTCTCTTCCCATTTCTAAATGTAAAACAAAGCAAATAACTTTTAGAAAATAACATAGAAAATCTAGGTGACTTTGTGCTTAATAATGACTTTTTAGATACAAGGTCTAAAAACATGGACTAAAGAGTTAGACTTATTTTAAGATTAAAAAAATTTACTCTGGGAAGAAACTACTAAAAGAATGAAAACAAAACATACAGACTGAGAAAGAGCATTTACAAAAATGTCTATACCATATTACAAAAATTGTATCCAAAATATAAAAAGAATTCTTAAAACTCAACCATAAGAAAACAAGCAATGCAGTTACAAAATGGGCAGAAGAGCAGAACAAACACCTCACCAAAGAAGATATTCATATATAACACATGAAATTTTGCCAAATGAACACATGAAAATTTGCCAACCTCATAGATAATTAAAGAATTGCAAAGTAAAGAAAATATGTCTATTAGAATGGGTAAAATCCAAGACTCTGACAACTCCAAATGCTGCCAAGGTTGTGGAACAACAGGAATTCTCAGTCCTCGTGTGGGAATGCAAATAGTGCAGCCACATTGGAACAAGTTAACTATAGGCTTACTATGTGATCCAGCAATCACGCTCCCAGGGATTTACCCAAATGAATGAAATGCTTATGTCCCAACAAAACCCTTGCACATGAATATTTGTAGCAGCTTATTCATAATCACCAAAACAAAGATGTCCTAGGTGAATGGATAAACTCTGATAAGTCCATAAAATAAAGTATTATTCAGAGATATAAAGGAATGTGCCAGCGAACTTCAAAAAGACATGAAAGAACCTTAAGGATATACTGCTAAGTGAAAGAAGACAATATGTAGATTCCAAGAATATGACACTTAGGAAAAGAGAAAAGCATAGTGACCAACTAGGTGGTTACTTGAAATTCAAGAGGAGAAGAGGGATGAATGTGAGAAACATGGAGCATTTTTCCAGTGAAACTCTTCTGTATGGTTATATAACAGTGGCTACATGACATATGCATTTGTCAAAATTCATAAAGCCATATAACACAGTGTACCCTGTTATAAACTACGAACTTCAGTTAATATTAACACATCAATATTGGTTCATCAACTGTAGCAAATGTAACCACACTAGCTAATGCAAGATGTTAATAACAGGAGAAATGAGGGTCAAGGGTTTCCTTGGGAATTCCTGTACTTTCAGCATATTTTTCTATAAACCTAGAACTGCTCCAGAAAAAAATTTACTTAAAAGGGAAGGGAATAGATAATGGAATAAAAGTAGGAAAATAAACAAATTAATTAAATTCAACTAAATCAGTAGGACTTAATCTGTGAATAGATGTGAAGAGCTATGAAACAGCCAAGGCCAAAGCCAGGCATTTATAAGGATGAATGGACTTTAGCCATTCACTGCCATTTTCAGAGATGTAAATAGGGGAGACTGAACTAACTGAGTAAGTAAAATGGTAAATTTCCTTTGGAAAAATTACAAGAACCTATAGGATATCCAATGGAGATACCCAGTGGGCATGTGCACAGCAAAAGCTTACAGGAAAAAAGATAGAGTCTTGGGGATCTTCAGTTTTTTGATGAGAACATTCAAAAAACCATGGAGCACAACACAAAATTCCACATGGAAACAGAACTCTAGAAAAATTCAGTATTTGAGGGGAAGGTACAATATGGCTCAAATGATCCACACTGAAGTCAGAGTTTAAAGGAAAAAGAAGGGTTAGTTAGATAGTGTTAAAAGCAACAGCAATACTCAAGAAAACAAAAGAGCCCCAAAACTGAGATGATGAAGTCAGCAGAGACAGAGAAAATGAAATTGAAAGAAGAATTAAGGGGCAAGGAAAGATAAACAACACAGGTTAAACTTACAGTATGAAAGATAATTTAGTATTTTTAAGTAACTCAGTGGTCTTGGGATGAGTGAAAGTGATTTTTCCAACATATCCTTGAATGAAATAAAGGTTTTACCTGTAACATCGGTCTGTGAGTGGAGTAATAACCAGCCGAGGGGAACTACCCAGATACTCATACCCATACCGCAAACCAGCATTGATCATCTTTGTTTCTAAATGATTTTCCTAGGATAAATCAGATAAGATAAAGTTAGCTGAGACAACACAATTTCAAACAATATGACATCTCAGGCTCTTTACTATCATTCATACTATATTCAGTGGAAGAATTCAGTAGCTAGTTTCCAAGTGTAAATAACTGGAGTCCTTGGCTTCTGTTTTTCCTATAGAATGTTGGGAACTTGTCCTTTATCTGTGCTATATTTTTAGTCACTTTTTTCAATGTAGAATGGATACTGCCATTATTACCATTTTATAGATGAGGGAAAATGAAGTGTAAAGAAAGCAAGGAATTCATACAAAGTAACACATCCAGCAAGGAGAGGATCTGGCATTTGGAGCAATGATTAGCAAGTTACTAATAATCATTGTATACACTGACCCTCAAATGGCTTTCCAGAATGCTGATGCTTACCTTTTTCCTCCTCCTGCCCATACCTTGCAAGACTTCCACAAAAGCCTAGATGATAAAAACTTCTGAGTTCATACCTCCAGTCATTAGCTCTCTGTCCACACTCTGCAGGCCAATCTCAACCAGTTTCCTAACTGTTCCTGCAATCCCTTCCTTCTCAGTCATGATTACCATTGTCAGCCTCTTGGGCCCTGATAAAATCCTTTTAGGTCATGTTTCTGCCTGCTTCTATTGGTCAATAAGAGAAACTTTAAGGACTAAATCAGACTAAAAGAGCTTGCTTTCTTCCTGCTTCAGATACATTGGAACCTAAGAACACAATTTAAAACAGACTAGTGCCAACATTTTATAAATTATAAGCATAACAACTTATTTAAAAACAAGTAAAATTTTCTTCTTTTATTATTATTATTGAACTAGGAATACATTGTGACATTCATATAAACTCTTAGAATATATCATAGTTAAATTCATCTCCTCCATCATTCTCCTTTATTCTCCCTTCTACCCTACCCCATTTCTGGAATAGTTTCACTAGATCTCATTTTTCCATTTACATACATGTGTATGCAATATTTCCACAATATGCACCCTCCTACTCCCTTTTCTTATATCCTCTCCCCTCCCACTGGTACCTACTCCCCAGCCAGAATCTGTTTTTCCTTCCTGTTCTCCATTTTTATTTTTTAAAATGACATTTTTGTTTGTTTAAGATAGCTACACAGGTATTTCATTGTGACACTTTCATGTATATATGTATTACAACCTGAATTGGCTCATCCTCTCTATTTTTCTTCTTTCTACCTTAGTCCACTTCTTAAATTGATTTCAGAAGGCTTAAAAATTCTATATTCATTCTTGTACAGGAAGTACATCAACCATATTCATCTTAACTTCCTTCTTTTACCCTTCCTCTTTCATATGTGACCTTCCCTTAGTGTGACCTGTTTTGCATAATATTGCTTTATTGGTATTGAGTCAATATTCCAAATATGAGAGGAAATATGTGGTCTTTGCCTTTATGAACCTGGCTAACTTCACTGAAGATGAAGTTCTCCAGTTCCACCCATTTTCCTGCATAGAACAAAATTTCATTCTTCTTTATTCCTGAATAAAATTCCATTGTATATAAATACCACATTTTCTTAATCCATTCTTGGACAATCTTGGGCAATCTTGGCTGTTTCCATAGCTTACCTGTTGTGAATAATTCTGCAATAAATATGGGTGTGCAGGTGCCTTTATTGTAACCTGACTTACTTTCCTTTGGGTATATCCCTAGGAATTGTATTGCTAGATCCATGTGGTGATTCTATTTTTAATTTTTTGAGGAGCCTCCATACTGTTTTCCAAAGTGGTTGTACTACTTTACATTCCCACCAGCAGTGTATGAGGATCCTTTTTCCCTACATGCTCGCCAACATTTGTTGTTTGTGTTCCTGATGGTAGCCATTCTAACAGGAGTGAGATAAAATCTTAATGTGATTTTGATTTGCATTTCCATTATGGCTAGGGTTTTGAGCATTCCTTTTTTTTTTTTTTATAAAAACAAGTAAATTTGATCATCTTGTTCCTATTTATATGTATATATTTATGTAATAATACATTTGAATAGAGATAAGTGTATAAATACAGATATAAATGATATACAGTTATTAGCTACTTAATCTTCATTCTGGAAAAATGCTTTTATGGGTATAGCCAGTCATCAGCAAAAAATCCTATGTTACTGATACTATTTCCCATGTGAGCAAGCAAGCACAAATTAAAAGGCTATGAGCTGAAAATGCTGTGTAATAACATTCAATGATACTACTTACTTGCCAATAGTACCTAAGCTGACTTAACCATTCAAAGTCATTGTCATCACGAACTTCCTTTTTTACAAGTGCTGCAAGGACATCTCTAGCATGGACATCCAGTACCACAAGGGCTCCCAGAGTAACACGATTCTGCTTGGACAATTTGCCACGGACCAAAGTGACGATATCCTCGATTTGTGTGTTACATTTTTGCAAGTATTGCTGAAGAGCCTGAAAGAAAATAAGATACAATTTCCAGGGTGATCATTTCCACCCTAAGGAGTTTATTTCACTCTTTTAGAGCCATTGCTAAGTGGTAACAATGAAACTGAAAGTGAGGCTTTCCAAGAATGAGCAAGTTTGAAAGTAGAGTTGGGGACTGCAAGTTTTTTTCCTCTACAGGATGCTTTTCTTGTTCCTTGGACTATTTTATGTCTTATAATTATTAATTTTGAGAATGCCCTTTATTCAAAGATTTGGTGGTTAAATAATATTTCATTTCTATTATTTACATAATTAATTTGATATTAACCTGCTTGTTAATAAAAAAAAAAACTTCTGTTTCACTGATGTTTAACCATGTAAGTGCTTAAATTCTTGAAGCCAGTTAGTGAACTTAATTCTATTGAGTACATAAATGAGTAAGGAGAGTTTTGATCCTAGGAACACAAAGCTATGCCAGTTGATGCATCTTAGTTTCCTCATCAGGAAAGTTCAAGATTTCTAAGAGTCTTCCAGGTTCTCACATTCTATCATGACATAAAATAAAATTCAACATTTGAACCTGTTATGTGTGTGTGTGTGTGTGTATATATATATATATATATATATATATAAAATGTGTATATATACACACATTATATATTCATAAGAATTTTTTATACTACAAGAATATATTTTCCTATACGAAAAAATAAATTTAGAACTGAAACTTAGTTTGAAATTATGATAAACTGAGTTGTTTAGGAAACATGTTATATGAATAATGAGAATTTGGAAGAGTTAAATTTTTAAAAATGATGAAATTTTGATAATGTTTTCTTATATTTCATTTCTTATAAACCATTCTTACAGTGAGTCAATGACTAAAGGTGGCTGCTATAATATTCAACCAAAATACACCTCATTTGGAATCAAAGATTTTTATCATAAATCACTACCCCACTGCACAGTGGGGATTCTTCTGTTTAGTTTCACAGTCCCTGTAATGCCTCACACAGACTTGTTTCATAATCAACATTCATTGAATAAGTAAATGGAAACAGATCCTGAGGTGGAATGGTCCTCTGGGAGCATGGCAGTGTAACCTATGTTATCATGGAAATGAGCTCCAGACAACTTTGGGTGTTTACAGAGAATGGAGGCAACCAAAGTCATCAGGTTCAAATGTGAGCCACTCACTCATTAGGAAAAAAATTATCAATATATAGAGTATTAAAGCATATGTCAGCCTCCCATAATAGAATCCAGTGCTGCAGAATACTAAGGCAGACACTGGCTCCTCATGAAGCTGACACAGAATTTGAATGGTCTGAACTTGAATGAAATAGGGACAGGGGCAAATTATACAGGCAGTTGGTAAAAGGGAAATCACAAGCAGATAAAAAAAATTAATTTCTGCAGACACATGAGAAGTATAATTTCAAAAAATGAAACTGAAAAACTTAATTATGACAGCATTATATTAATATTATGGTAGCTGCCACTCAAGGGAAAAATGTAAATTCCCATTTTGACATTCTCAGTGACTTGGTTCCAGACCTGCACTATGTTAATATTATGTAAACCAGAATTAATAGAATAATAATGAGTAATTAAGCAGCTCAAATCCAGTACTAGTGGATACAATTGTAAACAAAATAAAGCAAAACAACAACCAAAAAGTTATTTTGCAATGTGGTAAGAATTGCAGGCAGGTAGTTTAGGCAAAGCACACATGTAAATGGAATAACCTATACTGCATTTAAATTCTGAGTTCTAACTTCTGCTTGAGAGATAAGTGCAAGCATGAAAGGACTATTACATTTACATTTTACTCTGTCTCCACAACTAGCCTGTTCTAGTCCGCTTGGTGTAAGAGTAGAGAAAAATATGATTTTGATAGAGGGGTGTATAACAAGCACCACATTTAAACTGAAAAATTTAGAAGATGCATTAAAAATTATTTTATCTGCTACATATCTCTCCAGCTATTTCCCCAAATGGTAAGTGACAAAGTTTGTGTGACAGACTGGAGGAACAGCAAGCAAGAAGAGAGATTCCAAGGAACTATGTGCTTCCCAGACCTGTCCTTGGTATAGAGGAATCCCTCATATGGGCAAGTTTGTAAATAGTAGCTTAAAAGTGAAAAGACAAAATGAATTATCTGGACCCACTGAAAAGAGAAAAGAAAAATGCACCTGGAAAAGATCCCAAGAGACCAGAAGTAACCCTAAGTGTTTCCTGTTATTAGGGAAACCCTCATACCCCAGTGCTCTGGTTTTTATGAAGAAAGGCCTTTTGACTTCCTGCCTTCCACCCTTATCTTTTCCTGCTGTGTGCCCTGGTGAGCTGGAGTGACTTATGCATATGTCACTCTGCCCCTTCCTCTTTGGGATATGCCTAAGGAGAACACACATCCCTCTCAATCCTCAACACTTAATACCTTAGCAACCTCAATCCTCAACCTTTAATACCTTAGCATTAAAGGCATGCCAAATTCCATTGCAAAAATGTATTTAAAATGCACGGTTTTAAACTGAAAGTGCTGTAATTTCTAGACTCTAGTTGACCCATCAGTCAACTGAAAGTTTACATACTTGAAATCCTGTTTCAAGGATGAGATGGTTACATTGAGTTTAAATTTGTTTTTAATTAATAGCATGTAAATAATATTAAATTCATATGTCCAAATACATTAGAATATTTAATAATAAACATGACTCAAAAATATTTATTATTCAAAGTAAACACATTAAAAATGAAAATATTCAAAATAAGTCAACTGAGACCTTGGCTACATAGGACAGTTTTATTCAAGGCACAAAACAGAATTAGGTTACTTTATGTCTTCTTAATCTTTCTGAACTTAGGAAGTTGGATTTTTTTTAACTTAAGAAATTTCTTAGTCTTGTTATCACTCTATTTTAAAGGCACAAAACTATATATAATAACAAGGCTGAGGATTAAGTACCCTTGACTTATATAATGTATGAATAATCAAATGGGTTACGCACAAATTATTTGGGTACTTTTTTCTATATATTTCTGATGTGAACACTGTACTTTAAAAATCTGTCATTTAGCTTGCAGCATAAAGTAGATTTTTGTATGTATTATCTTCATTTTATTTTTCAGAACATATATATTCTGGCAGTGATAATTATTTAAAAGTGCTGGAGAAAAAGTATCATGATACAAAATCAACAGCCTTTCTATAGATCACGATGAATAGAGAAAGAACTTAGGAAAACAATTCAATTTACAATAGCCTCAGAAAAGTAAAATATCTAGGCATACACTTAATAAAGGAAGTAAAATACTTCTATAATGCAAACTATAAACCATTGAAGAAAGAAATCAAAGAAGACTGCAGAAGGTGGAAAGATCTCCCATGTCATGGAGAGGCAGAATCAATGATGTAAAAATGACTATACTACCAAAAGCAATCTACATGTTCAATGCAATTCCCATCCAAATTCCAATGACATTCATCACCAAGATTGAAAAATCAACCCTTAAAGTTCCTATGGAAACAGAGAACAGGAAGGCAAAACAGGTTCTGTCTGGAGGTGGTACTAATGGGAGGGGGAAAGACATAAGAAAAAGGTATAGGAGGGTGAAGGTGGTGAAAATATTATGTACTTGTGTATGTAAATGGAAAAATGAGACCTGTTGAAACTATTCCAGGAAAGCGGGGAGGGGAGTTAAGGGAGAATGATGGAGGGAGTAAATTCGACTATGATATATTGTAAGAATTTTTGTAAATGTCACAATATACCTTCAGTACAATAATACTATGATAATAAAAAAGGTTTTGTTAAAGTTCATATGGAAGCACAAAAGACTGCAAATAACTAAGCAATACTGAGCAAAAAGAGCAACAGTGGAGGTATCACAATATTCACCTTCAAACTACACTGCAGAGCCCTAGCAATAATAATAATAATTTTAAAAGCATGATATTGGCTCAAAAACAGCCATGAAGATTAATGGAACAGAAGAGAAGACCCAGACATAAACCCACTCAGTCATAGTCACCTGCTTTTTGACAGAAGTGCCCAAAACATACACTGGAGAAAAGACAGTGTCTTCAACAGATGTTGCTGGGAAAACTGTATATTTGTGTGTAGAAAACTGAAACTAGATCCATGTCTTTCACCTTGTACAAATATCAGTTCAAAATGGGTCAAGGACCTTAAATAAGTCCTGAAACTTTGAAAGTTGTTCAGGAAAGAGTAAGGAATACACTGGAACATATAGGCACAGGCAATAACTTCCTAAGTAAAACTCGAATGGCTCAGCAATTAAGAGAAAGGATTGACAAATGGGACTACAAGAAATGAAAAAGCTTCAGCCACAGCAAAGGATATGTAATCAAATTGAAGAGGCTGGCCATGGAATGGGAGAAAATTTTTCCCAGCTATACATTAGACAAAGGATTGATAATCAGAATGTACATGGAGCTCAAAAACTAAGCTCCCCCAAAATCAATGACTCCATGAAGAAATGGGCAAATGAATTGAACAGAGCATTTTCAAGGAAGAAGTACAAATGGCCAAAAAAAAAAAAAAAAACCCAAAACAAAACACATGACAAAATGCCCAACATCCCTGGATATTAAGGAAATACAAAACTAAACCACATTAAGATTCCACGTCACTCCTGTTAGAATGGCTGTCATCAAGAAAGAAAACAACACCAGATGTTGGCAAGGATGCAGGTGGGGGGAATGGAACCCTTATACACTTATGGTGGGAATGTAAATTAGTACAACCACTATGGAAACAGTATGGAGGCTCCTCAAAAAACTAAAAATAGAGCTGCCATATGATCCAGAAATTCCATTCTTAGGGATATACCCAAAGGAATGTAAGTCAGGTTACAATAAAGTCATCTGGGCACCCATGTTTACTGCAGCATCATTCACAATAACCAAGCTAAGGAAACAGCCCTATAACTGATTAATAGATTAAGAAAATGTGATATTTATATGCAATAGAATTTTATTCAACCATAAAGAAGAATGAAATTTTATTGTTTACAGGTAAATGGATGGAACTGGAGAGCATCACCCTAAGTAAAGTTAGCCAGGTTCAGAAAGTCAAAGGCTGCATATTTTCTCTCATATGTAAAATATAGGCCCAATACAAACATAAGCAATATTATGAAAAACAGGTCATGCTAAGGGGAGTCACTAACAGGAGAGCTAAGAAAAAAGAAGGAAGTTAAGGTGAATATGGTAGATGTACTTCCTATACAAGAATGAATATAGAATTTTTAAACCTATTGAAATTACCATAAGAAGGGGACTAAGGTAAAAAGGAGAAAAAAAAGAGATGATGAACCAATTCAGATTATAATACATATATACATGAAAATGTCTTTATGAAACACCCAGTATAGCTATCTTAAACAAACAAAAATGTCATTTTTTTTTTTTTTTTTACAAAAACGGAGAACAGGAAGGCAAAACAGGTTCAGGCTGGGGAATAGGTACCAGTGGGAGCGGGGAGGGTATAAAGAAAGGGTGTAAGAGAGTGAATATGATGGAAATGTTATGTACACATGTATGTAAATGGATAAATGGGACCTGTTGAAATTATTCCAGAAATGAGGGGTGAGGGGGAGGGAGGTAAGGGAGAATGATGGAGGGGATGAATTCAACTATGATATATTATAGAACTTTGGTAAATGTCACAATGTACCCCCAGTATAACAATAATAAAAAAGAGAAGAAAAAATTACTTGTTTTTAAGTGAGTTGTTATGCTTATAATTTATAAAATGTTGGCACTAGTCTGTTTAAAATTGTGTTCTTAGATTCCAATGCATGTGAAGAATGAACAAATCAAGTCATGTGACTGGTAAATGGGTTAAGCAAATGTATTTTTATATAATAGAATTATATTCAGCCATAAAGAAGAATGAAATTTTGTCTTTTGCAGGTAAATGGATAGAACTGAAGAACATCATCTTAAGTAGAGTTAGCCAAGTTCAGAAAGACAAAGGTTGCATGTTTTGTCTCATATGTGGAAGATAGATCCGCTACAAATAGAAGCATTGTCATTTATACTTTCACATGTATACAGAACATGTTTCCAAACATGTGACTGTTAGAGGAGACTAAGAGAGGAGGAAAAGAAGGAAGGAACGATAGAGTGAACAACAGCAAAACACATCTGTGTAGTAACAAGACACAGTGACACAAACTGAAAACTGCTGAACAATACAGGGTAAAGGGAAAGGAGTGAGAAGAGTAGTGGAGGAGATTAAGCTGATTTAAGCACAATATATTTACAAGTAAAATATGAAGGCAAAATCCCTGAAAAATGAGCTGACACCTAAACAATAATGGACAAGAAGGTAAAATAAGTCATGATAAGGGAAGGGCACTATAGGGAGGGAGAAGGGTAAATGAAGAGAGTAAAGGAAGGTGAATATGGTTGAGGTACTTTCTATACAAGTATGAATATGGAACATTGAATCTGAAGTCACCTTAAGAAAGGGAATGGAGTAGGAGGAAGACTAATAGAAGGGATGAACCATTAAGGGTATAATACATGTACATTTAGAAATTTCACAATAAAATCCCCTGCATAATTATAATATACTAACAAAAATTTTTAAAATAAAGGACAGGAAAGTAAAACAGGTTGTATCTCAGGGTGTGTACCAGTGGAGGCGAAGGGCATAAGGAAGACTGAAGGAGGGTGAACATGGTAGAAATATTTTGTATTCATATATGAAAATGGAACAAGGAAACCTATTGGAATTGTTCTAAGAAGGAGGGAGGAGGTATAAAGGAGAAAGATGGAGGAGGTGAATCTAATATATTGTAAACACTTATGTAAACGTCACAATGTGTCCTCCTGTACAACTATAATATGCTAATAAAAATACATAGATTCAGGAAAAGTGCTGACAAAACTGGGGGTAATAAAAGCTTACCTTTAGCCCTAGTGGAATAGCTGTTTGTACTTCTGTTGTCCAAAAGATTTGGGATACACAGAGAACAGTCTGTCCTGGCCATTCTCTTACCCAGTTAATTCGTTCCTTTTTTTTATAGGCTGAAATTGCATCACCAATTACCTAAAAAATAAAGAAAATGCTAAAGATGAAATTTCTTGAATGAGTTATATAATGAAGAGCTAAACTCCTAAACTAGATTCATACTGCTCAATCTTTTACAACGTTAAGCAATTTTTAGTTATGAAAGAGTTACATAAAGCATGTGATTAAATGATTTAAATACAAGTTTATTCACATATTTGTAAGCAAAGCAAGTTATTAGATATTATTTTGCCAATACAGTATCACTTTGTGTGAAACACATTATACCAAAGATCAGTGTTAGCCAAAGACATTCCAGATAAATTTGGATTTGATAAACATAAGCAACTGCATTACAAAATATAAATAATTCCAAAATGAGATCTATCAAACTTATGGCACATGAGTTTTTTAAATTACATCAGGTCCCACTTAATCATGTAGTGTGTACAATGAACAGTCAAACCACACAACACTCTAAAGAGTTTCCCATGTTTCAGACCTCACTCCCTTTTCAATCCTATAGGTTTGATGCCCAAGGCAGGAATGACATGCACAAGTGTATAATTCTTTCATGGAGAGCTGAGGGCTGCAAAGCCAGTAAGTCTAATTTATGTACTTTGCTCCCCATATTCAGTGGACTGCTATAACTACCTTTGCTACCAGCCATCAATGGAAAACACTCTAGTCTGTCATGTGTACCAACTGAAAAATAGTAATGTCCCCTGGGAGATTATATAGACTTTAATGTTTGAATTTCAAAAAAGACTGTCAAAAGTTAGATTTTTTTCAGAGAAAAATGTAAGAATGCTTAAAACTTTCTGAATTTCTAATATAGCTGGGAGATTTATAGAACTGAACAAAGATAAAAAGTGAAGGCTATTGATAATAAAGACACTTTTTAAAAGCCAGAAGCCACAGAAAGGGCAGGTAAAATGGACAGTTGAAGGATGGGAGACAGAAAGAAAAGAATAGAAAGGCAGAGAAGAAAGTTACTGCAGAGAAATGCCAAGATGGAGTGCAGATGTGTTCAAGGACACTGTGGGGAGAACAAGAGGACATTACTCTTGGGACACCCCCCCCCAACACTGGGGGCTCTACTCTCCCATTTTACACTTTTCAATCTCAATAAACTTTCAGACTTTACTCACTAAAAAATTTTTTTAAATATAAATTACTAAACCTAGATATAGTAATATATGGTATATATTCAATACCCTTTCAAGCCTACAAATACATGTAGCACAACATAAAACATACCAATATCTTATTTGTAATATATTATATTGCATTTGCTTTCATATTTTATGAGCAAAAACTTAGACACGAACATTTTGAAAAATATGTCCTTCCTACATAATTCCTTATCACCTCATCTTAACATTCTGAAGTGGCAATCAAAAATATTTCTGTAATCAATTTGACAAACAAATTAAAAGAATAGATTAACAAGATATGCCTACAATGACAGATACGCCAGATTAACAGATATGCCTACCTACAATAATGAATGGTCACTACCTGCTGTATCAATTAATAAACCATACCTAACTCAATGCTGATAAAACAGTGGTCAAAGTGAAATTCCTTTACATTGATAATTGCCATATAACTAGTTGTGCTACTTGTAGTACTTATTAAGACCTGTGAAAACTCATCCTCTTTGGTCCAGTGGTCCTACGCATGAGACATTATCATAAGAAAAATAATAATTCAATCAAAGAAACCAGATATATGCATAGTACATTCATTTAATATAATTCTTCAGAAGAAAATAGGAAACTTACAAAAAATTTTACATTTACTGGATAATATTATGCAGGAAAACATTAAAGTTATCTTTAGAATGAGAAAAAAACATTGAGATATGTGGTAACATTACACACTTAGATTCTCATGAATTTTTTCAATAATGTGTGGGAGAATATGAAAATTTAATTTAAAAGTTAGTTAATTATGCTCCCTTCATTCTCCCCTACTAAATCATGATTTTTTTCTTGATAAAAAACTTAAATATGAAGTCCATATTACAGTAAAAAAATGAATTTTTGGCATTACTTGAAATTCTCATCTAACAAAAATAATTACAAATGATTGAGCGAAGAGTATATTTTATGAGATGTGGAAAACACAAAGTTACCATTAATTAAGGAAAGTATATATGATTTCATAACATTTGGCATGTATTTTACATACATAGAACAGTAAGACTTATACATAATCAAGGAGATTGAACCCATACATAGGTACTCCCAAGGCAAGACTGAAAACAGGTCCACATAGGCAGAACGTGTGTCTAATTCCATGACAAAATCACTAGAATGTAGTTGTAAGAAATGAGACAGACACATTACTAAAGAAAACTTGGATGTATGCTTTTCCTACTTTGAGTAAGTCACTACAAAATAACAAAATAACCTAAGACTATCTCTTTGCCTTCATATAGTCTAAATAGCAGTGTGCTTATCAGTAACATATTTGGTAATAACATTAACTTCTGTATCAATCAAACTTAGCCAACTACCTTGTGGATGGAGCTGATCATAATTCTCCTCTAACTCTAGCAACCACTTTTCCACTTGACCTCTGGCTTTGACTGTTGAAATAGTATCAATGAGTTCCACAACCTCTCCTTCACTACTCTTCATATGAGTAATGTCTAAAGTTTCTGTAAATTCTACCTTTGCAATTCCTTCAAAACATTTCTTCAAGTGAGGATGCACCCTGTTAGGAAAAAGAAATTAAAAGAATTAA